CCTAGGTGGTGCTGGCGCTGCCCTACGATACCCCCGTGCCCGGGTACATGAACAACACCGTCAACACCATGCGCCTGTGGTCGGCTCGGGCACCCAACGACTTCAACCTGCGGGACTGTAAGTGGGTGCTGGTGGGGCACGGAGTGGGACAGGGTACAGGGGGGGTCCCACACCCACCTTATCCCCCTGCTCCTCCCCAGTCAATGTCGGAGACTACATCCAGGCTGTGCTGGACAGAAACCTGGCGGAGAACATATCCCGCGTCCTCTACCCCAACGACAACGTAAGTAGTCGGGGTGGAGGGGTGTCCCTGGTTTAGGGATGGCTGAAGATTTCGGAGCAGCCCTTCTCAGCAGGACGTTGCAGAGGTGTCTCCGTTGTGTTCCAAGCCGCCTGTAGAGCTTGGATAGGGGTTGCTGCCTCTCGCCAGCGCTGCAGCAGAGACCGGTCCGTTCCCGGGTAAATCCATGCTCGGCGCAGTAAAGGGGAGGGAGTGGGAACGAACATGTCCTGCTGCAGAAACATTCCCCAAGTCTCAAAATACAACACGAGAGCAAACTGATGAACGCCGCTGGCATTTTCCTGCCTGTCCCATGCAGCCCAGCGCCGGAGATCGTGCCCAGACTGCCCTCCTCACCCCGACCTCTCGCGGCGGGGGTCCTTGCCGTGCTGCGCGCTGGTGGGCACAGGGGCATGGACAGCCCTTCCCCGGGCACAAAACGAGCTGCGGAGCGGGTGAAGAAGGCGAAGAGCGGCTCTCCTTGCTCTGCGGCCTGTTTTGGGGTTTTTTTTTTTGCCTGTATAATCCTACCCCAGCCCTCCCAGCTGGCGAGGAGAGCTGGGGGCACCGGCGCCCCGGCGGCGAGGCTGCCTCCTGCGGAGCCTCCCTCACAGACCAGCGGGTCCCTGTTTTGTGCTGTGTGAACGGTGCTTTTCATTCCTGTCTTAGAAATAGTTCTAGGTGTTACAGCCCCCGTGGCTTCCCTTCCCATCACCTCGGTACTTTTCCTTGCGGCCAAAATATTCAAACCAGGGAGAACAGGTTTCGACGATGCTCGGGGCGGGGGATTTAACCTCTGTTTGTACCAGCACATCTCAAACCCCCGGGCTGAAAACTGGAAAGCGAGAAGATGTTGGGGGTTAGAGCTGCTGTCGGGGGGAATCGCGCCGTGCCGTGCGGTGGCTGGGTGCCAGCGTGGGTCCCCGCAGCACCCCGCTCCTCTGCTCGCAGTTCTTCGAGGGGAAGGAGCTGCGGCTGAAGCAGGAGTACTTCGTCGTGGCTGCCACCCTCCAGGACATCATACGCCGCTTCAAAGCCTCCAAATTTGGGAGCACAGACAGTGTCCGAACCGTGTTTGATTCCTTCCCGGACCAGGTACGAGCCGGGGTTGCTCGGACGTGTGCCTTGGAGCTTGTTTCGATGCCTCCCAGATGCACACGCAGGGCTGGAGAGGTTTTGTGGACCCTCCATGGGTGCCTGTGCCCAGCTGGCTTGGACCGTGGGATGCCCCCGTGTGTCCCCCCATGTCCCCAAGTGCCACCCCTGCTCTCCCTACAGGTTGCCATCCAGCTGAACGACACACACCCTGCCATGGCCATCCCTGAGCTGATGAGGATTTTCGTGGACATTGAGAAGCTGCCGTGGAACAAGGTAGGGAGACCCGACCTGGCTTTTGGGTCCCCTCCACTTCCACCCACCCTCCTGCCCACCCATGGTGGAGGAGCTGGAGAACCAGTTTTATAGCTGCTGGTGGCCTTGGGGGGTGATGTGGAGCAGTCAGGTTGGGTTTAACCAGTATGGACTTGGAGGAGCCGGTTCAGCCATGCTGCTGGCTGCCATGGGAGGACCACGTGTGGGTGCTGGCACCCCCCCGGGGCTGCCTCCACCCTCGCCACTCACCGGCTCTCCCGGCTCTCCCCCCTGGCAGGCCTGGGACATCACCAAGCGGACCTTCGCCTATACCAACCATACGGTGCTCCCTGAAGCCCTGGAGCGCTGGCCGGTGGACCTGGTGGGGAAGCTGCTCCCCAGACACCTGCAGATCATCTACGAGATCAACCAGAGGCACCTGGATGGAAGTGCCGTGGGGCGGCGCAGGAGCCCTCTCTGGAGAGGGTGAGAGGGATGGCACGCGTCGTGCTGTTGGGGTCGGGGGGGGTGCACGAACCCATGACGTTGGGTGTGTGGCCGGGTGGTGCTGGCTGCTATTTTAGGAGGTTGGTGCGTAGGAAAGCCCTTTCCCACCACTGTATTGCCATCCTGCAGTCAGTGGCTGGTTTAAAGGCTTCACCCGTTGCTCCAGGGTCTTACCTGTTGGCATTTCTTTCCTCCCTAAATGCTAAATTCATCCTGGATGAGGTTGGGGGCACAAAGGAGAGGGTGGTTTGGCCTCCTGGCCTGGCAGCACAAGGCTTTGGCCAAAGTGGCCCTGCTGGTGAAGCACGTGCCCTCAAGCCCCTCTCCATGGGGGTTTGGGGGAATCCTTCCGCCCAGAGATGTCCGTGCTGGGGATACGGGGGGCTGTAGGGGGTTTGCACCGTCACCCTGTGCAAAGCCACCGCTCTGGCTGGTG